TTACTTTCTCACACATCCCAAACTGCTGTTCCTTATGTAGGAGTGAAAAACTTTCCAATAAATCAGTCACAGGGAAGTGATATCTTCAGGCGCCAGCCCCCAGGAAAGCACTGACAGCCACAAGGATGCAGATAACGAAACTGCCTGCTAGGCCCTGTTTGATCTAAGAGTTCCCCGGAAACATTTGTCTTTGTGTAAGACGTTTACAGCCAACATCTGCTTTCTGTAATCTGCTTGCTTGCTTGTTCAGAAGACCACCAGGCTATGGTCTTAAGCTTTATAAGCTGCCTCCTCTGGAAGCTCGCGGCTGATCTCCTCTGACCCTGCGTGGTAGACAGTCGCCGGCCGGCTAATAAAGGCTCACAATTCATCTCAATTGGTTCCGTGGGTCTTAGAATTGATTGCGCCACAACACTTAATCTACACATTCTGCTTAAAACATCATCCTTTAGATTTCGGGTCAAATGTTACTTCTTCAGAGAAGCCTTCCCTGACCCTCTTCCCCTTAATTCAAATTAATTTTCTCACAGAAACCTGTTATTCTCTCCATAGACTTGTCACAATTTGTAATTTTACATTTGTTTTTGCTACTATTAAATGTCCATCTTCCTACTTGACTGTAAATTCCATGAAGACAAAGACCATACATGTTTTGTGCATCACTGTGCCAAGTTTCAATCACAGAGCCTGATAAAGTTGAATGTTGAGAAGGTGCCATTTCACAATTATTCCTAACCTCAGCTAGGTTCTAGCATAATTTAGCAGTTATTTATCCATGCTTATCTCCTTTTAACCATGGTTGTCTCTTTTTCTGGCTCAACAGCCATTCCAAATATTGCTCTCTTAAGCTCCCTACCTCTCACCAAGCCCCTCTTTTTAGTCAATGAAGTCACCACCATCTATTTCAAGGAAAATGAAAGGTTTTCCAGTGGGAACATATCCAACTGTTGTGATGGTTAATTTTATGTGTCTACTTGACCGAGCTAAGAAATGTCCAAATAGTAAAGCATTTCTGAGTGTCTGTGAGAATGTCTCAGGAAGACATTAGCATTTGAATTGATAGACTTGATGCAGGACAGGGCAAATTTCCCCAGGTGATGGGGAGTCCAAGTCCTGTACTGAGAGAGAGAGTCCTTTGGCAGAGAGTGTGGAAAGAATTCAACACACGCCAAAGTTAGAGTCAAAAGGAAAGTTTACTAGAAAAGGGGTAACACTCCACAGTGTGGTCTCCTCTCAGAGGCGGATAGTGAGAGGGACATGGAAAGGCACTGAGAGGGACACTGAGTGTTCAGGGAATTCAGTTTATATGTCATTTTTTAGTTCCTATTTCCTTTGATATGGACATACAGTGAGGAAGGGGAAGAGTATGTAGCATGAAAAGGTAAGAATATGTAGAGTGAAAGACCTGCTGGCAGTTCCCAGCCTTCTTTAATCCTTAAGTTCCCTACAGTTTTAGCCAAAGGAATGACTCGGGGTCTGTTTCCCCTTCACAGGTGTGGAGAATGGGTTGTTAGTAACCCAACAGAAATCTTTCTTTGTTCTGAAGGTGTCCTCCTGGCCTGGCTGCAGGGCTGATTAGCGTATTGCAGTCTCTGATTGTGGCTTGATTAACATTTTTAATTCTCTCGCCTCCTCCCTACATTAGACTAAATTAAGACAATTGTTCTCACCAATGCCAGTGGGCATCAATCAGTCCTTTGAGGGCCTGAATAGAACAAAAAGGCAAGTTTTCTCTCTGCTTGAGCTGAGACATTTCATCTACCCTTGGACACTTGTGCTCATGGTTCTGGGTCTTCTGGTTTGAACTGGGCCTTACACCATTGACTCCCTGCTTTTCAGACGTTTAGGCTTCAACTATAACTATACCACCAGCTTCCCTGGGCCTCCTTTGTAGTTGGCAGATTATGGGATTTCTCGGTTCCACAATTGCTTGAGCCAGTCCCTCATAATAAATTTGTTTGTAATACGGGCCATTATTTACAAAATGTGCTCACAGAACTTTTAATCACTTTATTTCCTTTTCCTGGGAGAAAGCCTCTCTCCCTCAAACTCGAGTAATTACCCTGAAGCTTGTAACTCAGGTTATTAAGTAACTCAGGTCCTATCAATAGTAAGAAAATTAATAGATACATGGTTTAAATAATAAGTTTACATCTTTTTCCTTTCTTTCTTGTCTAAGGACAGGGGCAGCATTTCGGCAGGATACATCCTCTGGAGGACAACCCAAAACCCCGTTCTGACTTAGAGAGGGACTCCATGAAAC